AGGTTTCTGACTACCAGTAGAGATGAAGAAGTGAGGTAGCCTGTATTTCGACTGTTCTGTACCAAAGCAACAGATACAAATGTAGGGGTAGAGGAAGAAATGGAAAGCAAAAGCTCTTCCAACTCCTTGAAATGCGTTTTTTAAGCTAACTTGAATTAGCCACCTTGGTATACTTTGGAGCATGAAGTAAAAGACCTCTAAATCAATCACCCCAAGTCGTGAGAAAATCCTCCTTTCGCAAAAGACTTCAATGGAATATTCAAACCTCTCCTTTTTTAATGCTAGGTAACACTCTGCCTCCACATCTTTTGCTGAAGCCAAATGCCATTTATTTAGTCCTCTCAGCAGGCGACTGTGCGTGTTGGTGGGTTGGTTTAGCTCCCATCCACATCATCCTACCCATTCCGCCAACTAACTTCTCCATTTGATTCATTTTTCGCCTCATAAAATCACGGAAACCCATCATGTTTATGGCGCTAGAAGTTGGACCAAAATCTAGTTGTTGGTAAAAGTGGGAACGAGACATATTACTGCAGACCGTAGAGAGTCCCGTTAAAGAGTTGTAAAAAGCGAGGCACAAAACGAAGGCTGCGGCTTCTGCCCAAGTGAGGCACTTCAATGTCTGATGTCACGGCAGACAATTTGCCGGAGCCAAAAACCTTGCAGCGTGCTTTCAAGAGCAGTCTCTGCACAATTTGTGCTTAAACGTTTGAAATGTTAGTCAGAGTGACGGAGGTTGAGTTTCACAGCGATGCAGTCTCACAAAAGGATGTTTTTCGAGCATCATTTGAAAGACTAACTTATGCTTCAAAATATTGCAAGACTTGTCATTTAAATCTTAAGGCATATTAAACCATGAAGATCAGAGGTTGTCCATTAAAAAGCGCAAATGCCAAACAGGCTTGTGACTAATTGCAACGAAGTCTAGAAGCCATTGCTAGAGTCCTTTTCTAATTCTCCACGTAACTTGGGATTTGTATGATGTTTCGAATGCCCTTGCCGCCGTGATGTGACATGGACCCCAGTCAGTGTAAACAAACGCATTGCAAACCCAGAGTTGGAATGTACAAAAGGCATTCATTCCATGACACAGTTGAGCGCAGTCACAACTAGTACTAGTTGGTTTGACTGCATCACTTAGGCAAAAAGCCGTTAAGTCAGACGAAATGCTGATGCCTTGCAAGGATACAAATTCCAATTCCCCAAACAACTTCTTTCGGCGTTACCGTCCTCCTTCCCCGCCAAACGATGCAATATGCTTTCAACAGGCTAAAGAATAGATGAGAGAAACAGTAAAGGTTTTACAAATAAATTATTAAGTAGCCAAACCACAACAAAAAGGCGGTTAAATACCTCTAGAGAGTCAATGTGTTTAGCTGCGGCTAATAAGAAATATCATCCACACTGTCGCTAATGTTGATAACCCATCTCATAAGGAAGCATCTTTAAATAAATATTCTACTTAGATAATCAAATCAATTTTGCATCATAATGTATAAAGAAAACGAAGAGTGATTACAGAGACACAGCAGACTCCCTTTCGCAATCATCGAGGCTTTGACAGAACCCCAGTCATCGAATTTGCATATCAGTCCTCTAGATTTAAACCATTAAAATTGCAACTGAATAGCCGAATAAATTAAAGCCATAAACACATTTTATATGGCATTTAATAACCTTCTAAATGATATTTAAGGGAATTCGGGTTTTTGGCTTTCTAATGATGGAATTGTCGTGAAAATTTTGGATTAATCGAAACAAAAACGTAATGGCCACAAAAAATCAAATATAACAAGTAATTTTTACCTGAAAAAGCAAGATGATTTTTGGATTAAGCAGCTTTAATTGCCGCATTAGGATTTTTTGTACGTGATAAATACTGGAGAGGGATTGCTCATAAATGTAGCTACATAATTCAGCTACTGCAATGGGAAAGAAGTAGTAATCGCAACATGTGGGCGAAGCAAATTTGAGCCAATTTATTTTGCATGCCCACCATACCAGTGAACTGCTTTTTGCGATTGTATGCGAGATGCTTATGCAAATGCTTGTGAAGTGGCGCGCTTAGTTCACACACTAAGCAAGGGCATCAATTCTGGGAAATAAAATGTTTTATTGAAGAGTCACTAGCAGAATTAAAAAGCGTATAATTTGAGCAACTTGCTTTAGAATGGAGATAAAAACGTTCACAAAATGAATAAGTATAATGAGCTAGTACTTTTTTAAATCATATTTAACTGCAGGAACTTTTAAATTCTTACTATATATGTATATCTCCATCATTGCGGCATAGTTTACTGGCCACGTGTACAGTCCCCAACTGGCTCTCATCCGTACCAGCACGGCCTTTTGCGACTTAAGAGAGTTCAGTGGTGACCGCAATAAGTACCTTCATACCAAAGGTAAAATCCCATTGACTTTTGGTTGTTAATAACAAATCTGGGCTTCGAAGAGAGATAATTATAATGGATGACTGTATTAAGGCAAACTCTCTGTTATCGGTTTGAAACGGCATCTGATTGTGATTAATTCATAATGTTTATTAAATTGAAATCAAGTTTTCGCGAATCGAAAGTGAGCTGAGGTACGGGTTTACTGCAGGTTCCTGGGTAAAAATATTTATCTCATCGGCTAAGAATATGGCATTCCCCAAGATTTTGCCATTAGTCAAATTCTTATACGAAATGCGATCACCATGCACAACACCTGAGTGTTTTTTTCACCGACCTGGCTTGCTCTGCAGAGGACGCGGCACCGGTAAGTTCTGGCCACGAAACACGACTACTAGGTAAAATACCCGCGAAGATGTGAAAAATGGCACATCTTCTCCGATTTTGTCACGTAAGGACTCGTTTCGGTCGAAATGGAAGACTGACGATTGATGGAACAACTGGAACGCCTCTTAAAAGAGCACGAGGCTTATATGGTTAAGTAGCAGTTATTTGGATATCTCTTTAACTAATCAGACCTCTCGGTCATCGTGGTCCGTGTCTCTGTTTGGTAGCATGACCGGAAGTTCATGTCTACAGCCTACCGCCCTTTCTGTCCTAATAAAAGCTATCCTCCCCCACCGTCATGGCCTGCCATGGCTTGGAGGGGGTGTCAGGCAGCTAAATACAAAATTTTGTACTTAAAAGGCTTGAGGATGCTGGAGGTGATGAGTGCTTTGTAGAAAGAAGTCATAATACTAGAGCATAAAAGAGCTGAGAGGCTACTGGCCTGGCCCAAGGGCCATTCTGCCTAGCGTAAGTACGCTGGAGGATGGTTACCTGTCTGCATTGTCAACAAACAGAGCTAGACAATTAATCAAGGTGTATTTTTCAGTAGAATTGCCTTTGCTACAGAATTTTATATGATAACTAAAACAAATCTACTAAATAATTAAAATTTCAAGTTGTAAATCGGAATTTAGGGGGTGATGAAGAAGATACTTAATTTTAAAATCAGCGCATGAGCATGTCACCCCGCCAACTGGGGATAAAGAACAAACAGTTTTAAGCCTTCCCTCCTCTCATTGGCTTTCCCCAGTCTGACCAATCAGACCACCGCCCATCTAAGCAGGCATGTAAGAAGGGTACCGTAACTATCACACCGGTCAGAAGTAACATGCAACATTTTTACCAAAATGGAATCAGTATCACCCAAAACTGAGTCGAAACAGTGCCTCCGAGCCCGCATATGGACAGCCTTCGTGCTTTTCTGCCGCTGCACCACTGTTCGTGGTCTAGGCAAGCTGTGGCAAGGTCCCACCTTCCTTCGCATAATCTGGGCCATCTTTGTGGTTTCAATGATGTGTGTCCTCCTCATCTCTGTGGTCCTCTTAATCCTCGATTTTCTGGCCTACGACGTCGGTGTCCACACTCGTCTTCTTCTGGACGATCCGTCGCCTTTTCCGGCACTCACGGTCTGTCATCATTATCCCTTTTCCATGCGAGCACGCAAGTTGTGGCAAGAAAAGAAGGTCCTCTCACCCGGTCAGTTTAATAGATATATGAGGAACCTGACATGGACTAATCTCCTAAATAATGATGTCAGTGCGGCCGAAGCTATCACATTTTACGACAGTCTATCAGTCTACTACCAAAATCTCAGCCCAGAGGAGGCAAAAGCACTAGGCCATGATCACCGGATCTTTCTCAACTGCATGCGCGTCTCTTCACAAACCTCCATTTTCGAGGATGATTGCCGTCTACTGAAGGGCTACCTTGTCAGACAGTTTTCCCACCATCAATATCTAAATTGTCATACCTTTGAACCAGCTGATCAAAAAGAAGCGCTGGAGACATCATTTCTTAGTCTCATGGTTAGTATGGGGCCCAAGGAAAGCTCGGATCCCGATGAACAGGCCTTCCTACCAGATATATTCGAGCAGGCGAAGGGCCTACGGGTGGTCGTCCACGAACCGGGCACGTATCCTGATCTGGAAAAATTTGGTCTTCACGCCGAGCCGGGAAAGTTAAATGAGATCGGCTATGAACCGGTGCGATGGACGAAGATGAACACGCCCACACGGCCCTGCTTCTATAAAGCGGAGAAGTATCACGATCTTGAAGGTGTCTACAACTACACTCATGAACAGTGTCTCCTGTTGTATCAACAGAAGGAGATTATAGAGGATTGTGGTTGTTACTACGTGATGAATCCGCGGCCCTCTTTGCCTACCAACGAAAAACCCTATTGTGGAAGAATGTGGCCCAATTTGGATATAGAGAAGTTTGTCAATCGTCTGGCGTGTTTACGAGATAAGTTAGATATTGCCGTTAAGAGAAAGTACGATGGAAGAGTCTGCTTACCACGATGTGAATACTACACCTACGACTCCGCCATCTCAATCACCAAATGGCGGGCACATATGTGGCAGTTATATTGGCTACGTGTTCAAACTCAGGCCGTGAGATTGGTCCAGGAGTTTACGCAGAGTAATTCAGGTAAGGACATCACAGAAAGTCTTGGCTATCGCATGTGGAAGCGGTATTTAAGCAAACGCAATCTGAGCGATATCCCAAAGGAGGCGACCTGGGTTGACTCCACCCGTCCGCCCGATGTGATCAAACAGATTAATCTGGAAATTGATGAGGGTATTTCAGCAAACGATGATGGCTTTGCTTACATAGTGCTTAAGCGCAAGTCTCAAAACACCATCGATAATACAGAAAAGTTGGTTCTAACTCTTAACGTTCTAGTCTCCCGAATTGGCGGGCTCTGTTCAGTCACCATTGGTATTACCGCCGCCTGTGTTGTGGAGATCATTGAGTTTGTCTACTATGCAAAATATCACAGGAAGACGACTGCCAGTAAGACAAAGTCTAATGTGGAAATGACCGAACAGGGAGGTGACAGACAGGTGGAAAAGAACTGTTAATTAATGACAGATTAGCCTACTCCTTACGTTATTTCCTCCACATACATCCTTCCCACGCATCGACAATACAAGCATAACCCGAAATCTCTCACTATGTACAAAAAAGATACAAATAAGTTGGACCATTGGTTTTTTTTACATGTATGTGCAAATGTATATAGATATATGTAATCGGATTTGCCCGAAAATAGAGTCTGCACTTGCCCATGAAATATACACCTGCCATTCCGAAGAGAGATACTTTTTCCTGCAATTACCCCCTACTTATCACCCTGACATTTTGTCCATTCAGGCGGAAGGATGCCCTAGTAAAACAGATACGAAGGCATGAGGTGTCCAGAATAAGAGAGAGTACCTATTCATATTTTTGTTAAAAAATAATAAAGTGCAGAAAAACGGTCTCTTTAACACCTTTTGTGGGGCTCCCCCTACCCCTAAACGTGGACAGGCGCATTCAAGCTCTAAGTGACGCCATAAACAAAACAAACGAAAAATAGGGCGGGTTTTAAACTTACTGAGAGTAAGGAAAAGGTAAACTAAAAATGTAAACTCTGGGATGGTGAGTCGGGGAAAGCTAAAAGTCTGTTTAATGGATGTGCTTAAGGTGGAACAAAAGACGGTCCAAGGTCTTTTCGCCTTTCTCTTGTTTGGAGTGGTCTATTTCAATTAAAAAATTAAAACATAAAGTCCATGTATGAGTAGACTTAGAGTAGGTGGTTAAAAATTATCATAGATACTTTTGTTTCAGGAAATAATTAGCATTCCACCGGATGAGCTCTGGGAGTTTGTTACTGACATGGCCCTAGGGCTAGACCGTCCGGTAGGTGTATAATGGCGAAGCTCCTCGATGTTCCATCAGCAAACTTACCGATAGTTAAACAAACAGTTGTGTTCCATAATATCATAGATAGAGGGCTCGTCATAGCCTTAAAATGAACCTCCACAGACAAGATGACTCCTGATTTTGCAGCTAACTTGAAAGGATTGGAAGTACACATTTTCATTCCTCCCTTGATTTTATCCTGCCAGGTCTACTTTTAGGGGCGCCAAATTTTCCTTTGAGATAGGGCCTACAAAAAAGCCGTAAAAGTTAAATCGTTTGCTTCACATACTGACGGAAATAGTTGATGACAGGGGAGGAGAAGGGAGGTGGACGAAGGCTGGGGAAGTGGGAGAAAAGAAACTTCCATCCAACTTTTGAACTCGGATACCATTTAAGGCGATGCATAAAAAGGCAAAATGACCTCCTGGCTTCAACTTTAACTAGCCCTACGACCTTTTGCATTGGTAATAAACAGTTTTTTGTACATGGGAAGGCCAAATGTGACAAATGACAAGAAGGAATTCGATTTGGTCCTTCTACAGTTGTCACGAGTGCGAGTTGAAGACGCGCATTTTATTTACAGAAGTCATTTCCCTTCAGTTTCATCTACGCATTATTTACGAAGTACTGGCAAAGGAGATTTCTTTTCCCCTAGTTCTCACAACCCTGCCCCGTCCATTTGTAAATATCCTCCTTCTCTCAGTTCTTCCGTGCCTTCGCTTAAATAACTCCACCTCCGCCTCATTGAACGGGGAGGGAACTTTTTCCTCACTAGCTAGTAACTTCTCTACCTTACGGAGGAAGGAGACAGAGGTAACCACTGGGGTGCAAAAAGCCATTCTTTACTAACGACGTCAAAGAGTATGAGGATTTTTTAAAGCTTAGGGCAGTAAAACTATTTTTCATTCACAAATATGACTTCCGATCAACTTTTCTCCCAAATTGCGCATTAGATGGGGACGTAGGAGCAACTAATTATGCAAGTAAAGTCAGTCACTTCTAATCTACAGAAGTTGGTCATAAAAATTCAGTGCTGCATGAAGAATGTCTCACCACTCGGCTTGTTTTAAGCATTGAATTAGAGAATTCAAACCTTTTGAGGGTTAGGTTTAAAGTTGGTTTACCCCTCCCTCTATAAAGGGGGACGATTTTGTCCTGCAATAAAACCCCGAGGGAGGAGGCTTAAAAGTTTCGATAAAGCACCGAAAATAGTGGAAAAAATGAGAAAAATAAGTTTGATTTTAAGTTAGTTATTTTTTCTGCGTGTGTAAAGACAGTCCCCTTAAAAGGTCTTTAACACCCAACTGATAGAGGTGTCACTAACACGGAATCGGAGCCGAGGCAAGGGAAGGATTTACTCAGGTTGCAAAGCTTTCTCCCAGAGTGCGCTCCTTAAAAGCAGAAAGGGTATTCACTTTTGTCTTCCTTCTGCTATAAAGCATCTGATTCCTACTAGTATTGGAAAAGGTTTCCATTTGTTAGCTGAATTTGTCATTTTTATGAGCCTTAAGTAGCCCAACGGCCTCCCTGCAGAAACCACAAGAGGCCTGAGTCGAGGTAGATCTGTGCAGAGGTGGCAGTGCAGTAAATACCCCATCGGACAGGGATGGTGGCCTCAAATGGAGGAATTATTCCACGAAGGCAAACATACAACCTCACTGAAGATATTTGTGCTGCCTAACTCATCGCCTTACCACCTACGTCGTCGATGAAGTAATCTGTGGAATAAAACCTAACCAACAGAGGAAAAAAATTCAAGTAGTGATGCATCTTGCCGCTTTCAACGCACCGGGAGTTGCGTAGCCTTTAAGATCTGCATTCGCGAGGAGGCGAGACAGGTCGGCTTGGTGCTCTACAACGGAGGCGTTTCGCATATCTATCGGTATTCGTGGGGACTTTTGCCTAAAGTAGAGCCAATTTGGCACCTGTAGCACCCCAAGACTTTTTAAAGACAGAAGAAAACGCTTTGATGATATGGGGAAAGGCATGGTCCAAAGGCAAGGACGCTCAACGAAGGAAAATTGGCGGAAGCTCTGTTTGGCCTGTTACTAAAACTGAGAGTTAAACAAACAATTGACGTTTAACATACTAAACTAAATTACTTCTTATGAGCAATTTGCTATCTTTTAGCCACATTTCCGACTTTCAGAATTACTAAATGCCCGACTTTGAGCCCCAAAAAAGCGAATAATCTTTCAGCTCTTTGGAAAGGGCGATTTGATACGGCGAATTACCCAGGGTAAACAAAAGAATGTCCGATGGAAGGACCACGGAGTGGTTTTTCAGAGCAGGTGAACATCGCCGTGATTCACTGAAGTAATTTTACCCTAAATTCTTCCTTAAAATATACTGCAAGTCAAGTGACCGGAAGTGAAGCAAAATGTAGCAAAATTACGAGAAGGGGAACAGGAAGTAGGGGAAGAAGTGGTTCTTAAGAGAGCAGGAGAGAGAGATGCCTCGGATGACCGCCTTGTTAAAAGGATTTGAAAAGGGAATGGTTTCGTTCAGTTAACTTGTAATTTCCTTTTCTACCTTCAATTTCTATGGGAAAAAACTTGCTTGTTTAACTCTTCGGTTTGGTACCAGGCCGCTTAGGGGCACCACCACTGTACCTTAGTCGGGTGGGCTGGCCTTCGTGCCGTACCAGTACCCCCCCAGTCCTCTTGTAGGTCGACAATGCATACGGTGCATGAGTGTTATGTCTTTTTTAATCTTTGGGGAAGTCTAGGGGGAACACATTTGTGGCACCGGTAAATGGACTCGACTCTAGTGGACAACCACCCGACTTCTACTACTGGGTCGTGAGCCCTTAGCTGGACTGAAGTGCATATCAGGGAATAGGTGGTGATTCCAGGCAGAAGGGTTGAAAATTACCTCCACCTCCGGCACCCACCCCAATTCCGTGTTCCGCATGAATGCTGTCATTAACGGAGACAACACTAGTTGCGTATCATCTCGAAAAATTCCTTCTGGAGCTGTCAACGATGCCATTCCAGTGAACATGCAAGACCTCCTCTACCTCTACGAGTCAAATGAAACCCTGAGTTATAGTTGGACAGCTCCAGAGTGAGAACAACATGGTGAGGAAGAACAGACGGGAAAGCTTATTCCCACGAAATAATTTTAAACTCCGTCCTTTTTTACATGACTCAGCATTTTTGCCAGTGTTCTTACGACTACCGATGGACATGCATGATGATAATTAGCACATCCCTCCTTCATCATCCTCCATATCTAGTAAAATGGCCAAGAGGGAATAGTGATGTAGTGGTAAAGCACTTTCTCAATTTCGTGGAAATTCGGTGGCCCGAACGGTTAGCTGGGGGGTTTTTCTTACAGCGCCGACTACGTTGTGATGGTCGACGAGGGTATTTTACCAAGACGACCCCCAGAGAAGACGCTCCAATGTGCTTATTCAACCCTGTTTTGGTAAGGAGTTGCTTAGGTGCTCTGCTACTGTCCCTTAGCCGGGTGGGCTGGTCTCTGGGCCATGCCAGCAGCCCCTACCCAGTCCTTCTCCTTGTCAATGATACATATTCTGCCCAAGTATTATGCCTCATTTGGTTTTCAGCGAAGTCTTGGGGCGCCACATCAGTGCTTGTCTTATTTTGGGTCGTTCTAGCCTTCAAACGTAGCTCTGCCCCGCACATCGACCCCAGCCAAAAAGTGATTGAAAAGTCGCACAACGCGAATCCAGATAAACAATACCATCTCTAGGGTATTTACCTCCTTTTACACTCACTTGCTCGAAGACATGTTTTGTTTAGACAGAAATGAGCGTCTTGAAAGAGAGTCCCTCTTTCCAACTTGCAGAAAGCATTGCAGGAGTAACCATTCAGCCTGGCCTCGTGAATTGGACGTGAAGGAATATAAATTAATTGCTTACCGACCTGCCTTATTGACCGATTAACTTTTCCGAGTTTTGCGAGTCAACAATCGAGCCTCAACTCTGCTCTCAATCGTAATTGGACCGATTGAAATATCACATTTTCAAAGGAACGGAGGAGGAAGTACTTATGGGCGACTTATAAAGTCCAGAAATCATACTAAAGTTGGGCAGAAAGTTCCATCTTTCCCTGCGGGAAGAGAAAGTATTCGACATCAGCAAAAGGAAACTGACAGTATTTTCAACTACATGCTAGTGGTTGACACATTTTTCGCGGACGGGTCTGGTTCATTCGCACCTAGAGGAGGTAAAGGGTGCTTGTGTCAGCGAGTGATGATGGTTGGAAGGTCTTGACAGTGAGGGCGCTAAACCCAGGTATATCCACACAGAATTTGGAGTCCTTTAGTACAATGCCATGGCACACTCTACAGCTTCGACCGTCTGTCAGTGAAGGTACCTCACCCGGTGATTGTACGCATGACAAGTTCAGTGTCCAACCTGTCCGTGAAAATGACGAATGTACTCATTTACCGAGAGGTGTCAGTTTAAGGAGTTAGTGCACGTTGGACACCAAGACGACTTGGGCCTCTTGATCACCAATACAGTGAACGAAGCGAAGTAGTCTACGCGGAAATGTTCCAATCACCTATGCGACCTATATTATACCAAGGCTGCATAACGGATACGATTGGAACGCTAGAGTGGGTGTAGAACAGGAATTTAAAGGGAATTCGAAAGTGGCTTCCACTTCTTGAAATGTGTTTTTTTATTTGAATGAGCTCAAATGTCGCAGTCTCACTTGAACCACTTCCGGTGTAACCTGACGCTATTCACTTATGCCCACGACTAGTCAAGACAATTTCCCTTTTTCAGTCAAATTTGGTAAACACAAAATACCCATTTATTGTTTTAATGAATTGTTTAAAAGGTGCAGGATTGAAAGACCGCAGTAAACCGATGTAATCTCCTACTGTAAAGCGAAAAATGTGACAGTTGAAATCCGCTGAGGTTGGATTTATTTTATAGACGTAGAAAGGACTGTCTGCCTTCTTTCCCGAAAACGACTTTTAATTTAACAATAAATTGGTAGAACTTACGTTATTTTCCGCTTGTGTCGTGATGCCCGATTTCTTACCATCCCTCTCCGTCACGAAGGGGGGTTAAAGATTCGACGTCGCAGGGAACAAAGTAGACAGAGTGATCGCAAAAAATTAGCCTTTTAACGTGCAATTTGTAGCGCTGCGAGACCCCTCTGAAGATAAAAGAAAGAATATGTATTACCGACGTGGGGAAGGGTGTGGAGCCACTTGGAGGGGGTACAGTGGCAGGGTACACAAACATCTCCATAAATTAAGCATAGCCTTGTGGGGATGAGGTGACTCGTACCTTAAAAGTGCAGGATGGATAGAGAGTGGGTGGCTTAGAGATAATCCATGACCCTTTTGTTCGACCTAATGAGTGTGACAATAAAATGGCACTCCTAACCGCAACCCAACCTGTCGGCTGCAAACACTGCGAAGACGACTGAGAAGGAAGTGTAAAAACAGTATGAAGAATTTCAAAGCTCTCATGAGGGTAGAATCCATTCTTTAGCTTCCACCACATTCGTTCCCCCTACCAAATTACTGGATGTTGCTCCGCCCACGTCAATCTTTAGGCAGCATGTCACCAGCGGTATTTGACACCTTATTGCTAATGATGCGTATTGGAGGATCGACCCCGCATGATGAAGCACCTTTAAGTTTAAACAGATAAGAACCCTAAGTCATAGATAATAAATCTGATGAGAAGGCAGCTTTGGAACCGAGTCAAGCCTGCTCTGAATCATGTCTGGTTCAACCGTCATTCTGTGAATGGAGGGTTCGAAATGAAGGGAGTATATATATCTGGGATATCTGTAACCCCAGAATACGTTGCTGCTACAAATTTTTTAAGAGACTCCCCTTTTTATGACAAACTCTGAACATTGTAGAACGTCTTAATCCCTCTGGATTGGCCTATATTACATATCGATGCACTTAATAGGTGCTAATACTCACTATAAGGTCAAGGCCAATGAAATACAATAAACGCGTGAGACCGAAAACGCCTCGGGTCTTCTGCATTCTCTCATAGCCAGTTAGTAATCATGGTTTCACCCTCCGTATCACCTCCGGGAAGCGATGCTGTCTCCAAAGTCCTGTCTGTTGATTTCTCCGTGGAGGAGGTCGACAACAGCGCCCATGTACACCGGTTTAAGATCCTAATTCTCATCCAGATTACTACTAAGCATTCTAGTGGGCCGTGCTGATCATTGCGTAAGTTTCTTCGATCGACCGATATGTACGGCAGATCAAATATCTTGTCAAATAGGAGTTAAGTAAAGTCAGTTAACAACTTCTTACGACCATAGATTATATACAAGCTTAGTAGCCCGGAAAATGAAGTTGTATAACCGAGGCATAGCACTCTGCCTCTTAACAATGCCAATTAATTATTAAGCAAAGACAAGGCCCTTCAGAGTATGGAGTTGCCTTATTTCCTAATTGTAATGCGACGACTACGGCTTTGTAGTCAACATCATTTGTCTGGGTTGATGCCATGGTGCCTGGAGAGGAGAGAGAAGTGTGAGAGAACAAAGCACCTTTCCTTTTGGAAGGCTCCTCCTTTATGCATTCCAATGTACCAAGGCCATACATCCTGGTTATAATAGAAGCGGTTGGAGTCGCTTTCAACTGACTACTCACTCGGTAAAAAAAATGAATGGCGGAGTTAGGAATAATTATTATAAGAAACAATAGAAAAGACTTTTAAAATCACGCGGGAATGCAACCACCCTTCCCATTCACTGCAGTGACTGAGCTCAGGGGGATCTACCGATTTTGGCTGGGGGAAAATTGGCAGGATAAAAGCATGCCGTGTTGAAGTTGATAAATGCTTTATTTTGGCGTATAAAAAGGAGAGAATCGTAAAGCCGTAAACAACTTGCCACCAAAACAAAAAGAATCGGGAGTTATACGCGCCCTAGTAAATCAACGCTCGATTTAGACCTCCCTCAAATTCTAGTGAATTATCCCTTCCAGGGGTGGTGGATTCAAGTTCCCCTCCGTTCTAATTAAAAGTGATAGTAAGAAGTGAGTCTGGAGGGGACCAACCTCGACCATAGATTAATAGACCTGACATGTGAATGCCTCTCCGCAAATAATGGCGCAGTGGAGTCTGAAAGATCGTTTATGTCGGACACGAGATTCTAGTAAATGCCAGAAGGGGACGTGACTTCTATAGTCCCTCTGTTGTGATCCTTTGGTCTGGGGTTGAGCCATTAAGCTGGGTTATCTCTTACCCATGCCAATAAAGTGTCCCAGTCCATCTTAAAAGCGTTCAAGGATGGACGGGTATGGAAAGGACTTAATTATAATCGTAAAGAAGGGTTGGAAGCTGGAGCTGGTACCGTTGAGGTACCACACGTGGTGTATGCTAAAGCCAAGCCCGGTCCTCACACCTTATATCGAGAGGGTTCACAAGTACGGCAAGCGTTTGCTTAACAGATGTTAATGGGTGGAGATGCCCAGTACACCGATGGCGAAGGGTTTTCGGATGTCCTGAGAGGGTCCGACCTCTACTGACAAGTCATTCTGCCTCAAAATTTGCTTTCCGGGTGTAATTTAAGCTTTGAGCCTGTTGTAAATGGGAATCAATTTGCCACACTTAACATCTCCCTCGTGTATGTAAAGTCTTGTTTCATCCTGAACACATTCTACTCCCAAAAGACGTAAATCGAAATTGTTACCTCATAAATGCCTTATTAAATCTCCTTTATTTAGTATCGTTTAACAAGTCCAGTACGCACTCTTCTCCAAGTGGTCCGTAGCGATCGAGCTAACCTCGGTGATGGAGAAAGCAATTTGGGAGCAAAAAACCTCTTTAAACCTTTATTAAGGAGGAAAATCTCTCATTCAAGACGATTACATTTGAAAAAACAATAATTTCCTTGGTGTACACTTCCCCTTTGACGATAAATAACTGCGGAGGGAGGTAAATATTTCTAACAGACACTTAGAATGATTCAGCTTGACAATCGAGTCAACTGATATCGATTAATAGAAGAAGAAGTGAATTTTATATAAATTGCAACTTTTTAAATGCAGTAAAAATTTACTCAGAATCCGTAAAACCCAAGCATTGACAGACGATAAGCCGTCAGATGACACCGACTTCGTGCCTGGTTGGGGCGGGGGCTGTCATTCTGTCCCCCGAGGCGGAGACAAACAGCGGTTTCCCCAATAAAACGTGAATCATCTGTGATTCCTCCATACCATACAGGAATAAAGTGTCTTCCTCTAGCTAGTCTTCCTGATTTCACTGGCTTGAGACCGGTGGTTAGACGGGAGAAAAAGAACTACCAGCAGTGTCCAAATTCAGCGCATTCAATGATGACATGGCGACAGAGAAAGGTTACATTGCATCCAAGTTACAACTAACTGCCACTTTTCTTGCATCTCGGCACCTTGTTTCGGTGCAAAAGGATGTCAGAAATGTTAGTTTTTTCTTCATTCAGGCAGGAAATGTGTATTGTTGTATTGTTTGCCCTCCAGAAAAGTCCTCCTCGCCCAGTTCACCTTACATCTATTCATAATTACAGAGTGCCTAAATCCACACATTTTGTCAAGAAACTTGCTCACATTAACTCCTTTTTAATTCCAGACGAGGACTAAATGAGGAATTAAGGGGAGAGTCACCTTTGAGAAGCTATAATTCAGCCATAAAAAGGTGATGCTAGGGTTTACCGTGACCCTTTTAATATTATCAAAACCAAGTTCGTATTTTGGCACACACAAAGTAACCCAAAGCGTGAGGCTTGTTTGGTTCGACTGGAGATGGAAGGCAGGCAGGGAGGAATTAAATCTTAATGACTGGGGTACAGCCTTTTATTACCACCTCGTGTGATTAACCGACGACGAAATCTGTCACGGCATCGAATGCAGGAAATTACAAGGACATGTCATGGTAAAAAAAGCATTTTGTTGTAAGGTCCCTGTGTCTTCATCCGAGTCAATTTCGGTTGTGTTGATGTTGTTATGAATTTTAAAATGCCACCTGTTTTGGACACACGAGAGGAGAGGGTCCCCAAGATAGATTGGTGAAATGTCAGTTTCTAAATAGAAAAAATGAGGTTCAAAGAGGTGACAAATACAGTTTATTTCAAGTATTTAAAAAAGACCTAAACTGCAGCTTTGTTACAGAAAGATTTGTCAGTAGAAGTGAATCGCTTTTGAGAAAGTGTGAGAAAGACAGTCTCGGTATCCAATTCGTGCCAACAAATCTTCATGTCTCTTGAGCAAGATCACAGCAGGTCATGCTTTGGTGGGTGCCACAACTGTCAACTGAGAATCATTGCGGCCAAAATCACCACCAACAGATTCATTTTCAGCCGTTATCGGAATTTTGGCACACGCCAAATGCCGAATCGCAGCATTTTTATGCGCTTAAGGCCTTCCACACGAGGGGATACGATTCATGCCTCTGTTATTTGTCATTATCCCACGCCGTGGCTGTTGTGCTAGTGCTCGGTAGCTTAATTAATGGTTGTTTGGACGGGTCCACAGCACGTGTCTCGACTGCTAACGTTCAAAATGATGCACATTTTACCGGAAACTTCGTACAACACCGCCATCTTTGCATCCACAAACCTTTTTCGTCTCCCCAAATTTTAATTTCTAGGCTGGTCTCCCAACTATTCTGTAAGTTGGTTGCGGACCCGCCGTTAGACCTGAGAGCCTTATCCTGTTTCGGACGCTCCATATCTGCTTAGTTTAAGCAAGGGTGACTAGGTAATCCATCTTGCAAAGGTAACTGACCATTTACAATCATCAACAGGGATGTTGTAATCCTAGTTATGCTTCAAAAACAAAGTTGTGTTCGCAAAACCCAGAACACAATCACGCTGAAAATAAAAATGGAGGGAATTTTGCGTTCAAACCATGATGGCTAGTGACTGGATGAAACGCCCTTGGCTACTTTCAGCCGAGAGGAAATGGTGCCTTTCATATGTTTACCTTCTATGACAGCATTCTTTGTTAGTCACTGACTTCCGTATTGTATAAATCAAGGTCAGTGTAAGGGGGAAAAACAGGAAGCGATCAAAATGCCAAACAGAATAAACTTTATTGCACTCCTCAACGCTTACCACTATGTCTGCAATTTCTGCCACTGAATTAATATTAATAAAGCTTTTGGAAGAGTAAAAAAGAGAAACTTTAGAGGAGTAATATTGCCGGGGTAATAGTTGTGGATAAGACTAATACAAGGACATATAATTGGGTTAAGACTTTAGTGCATTGAAGTTTTATGCTACCGAGCGTGTCAAAAATAAAGTGAAACCGTTGCCTGCAAAAAATGCTCTGTAATTTATCTAGAGTTAGAATTTATTTTATTTCATACAAAGCAAAAAAGTTGGTGAATTTATATCATTTTTAGGGCATGCTTAAAGACACTGGTACTTTGGACCTCCCAGGCCTCCTGTGGCACAGTAATTTAATCTTCATTTATACAGACATGGGTTGCTGTCATTTCAACAATGGCTTAAGAGGCTGTAATAAGCATCTACGTACGATGGAAATGATCCTCGTGACTTCGCTTATTCAGAGCTGTCCGCACTAGACGAGTTAATATGAGGAGACTCAGTGGCGCAGGCCGAAAATGTCCGATTATGGTAAAATCCCATCTTCCAGCTCCTGCCTTATAGTAGGTGCGTTTTGAACAAATTCTTGTCACGGCCGAAGCCGAAGATTTACACTGTGGATCGCCAGGGTCGATGCCGGAAAGAACAAGAGGGCTATGGGGTGAACTGACCTTTGATTTAATGTGCATTTAATTACATGGGCTCTTCACTTCCTACGCAAGTGTGTGACTACACGTACCTCCGGTCAAGCCTGTGGCCTTCAAGCCCTCTTGTAGGTTAATTCTGCATCTTTCTCCACATTGATGTTGCTTGAAAAGTTTTTGAAAGGACAAAATACACTTCCCCCTTAAGTGAAGGCTCTTCTTCTTGCGGCACAGCCTAATGAAAGAACTGTCTCTAAGTGGAATGAATAATCAACGACCGTCTTTAAGTAGCCTTTAAAATCACCATGGTGAAATGAGCATTTGGACAAACAAGAATTATCTATCGAGCTACAAGAGAAATATTACTCATATTTGTCAGTAAAGTATATAAAAACCACTTCTAAAACTAATGGAGCTATAATGGCTTAAGAAGCATTCAAAACAGACAAAAGAGTTGCCAGTGCCTATCTCACTGATTGCATAGACAAGTAATTTTTAGCAGGTACTTTGTATGCACTTGAGAAATATACCAGTCGGAATTACCATCACCATGAGAACTGCAATGGTTTTGGACCTTTTAAAACCACTAAATAACTTGGTAGCAACATTTTACAATTGCTGTACAAACTTCATTCTGAAAAAGTTTTAGAGCTTAAACTTGAAATTTATGTAGCAAAAGGGTGCACCTTACCCATCGCGCCAATTGCAGCAGTCAAAAGCAAGATTTTTCCTGAATTAAAAAAAAATTTTTACAAGCATAAATCACCGCTGTTTATGCACAATATGGACTGTACTCTAGTCTTTAATGAACATTTGGATTCGATACATATATTTCACACTGTGCTGAGGAGATTTTAAACCGAGACAATCACATGATGCTTCGCGGAAAGACAAAAACACTTCGCATGTTTACGGGATTTGGCTCATAAATACCTGCTCTCATTTCTTTGTCTAATAAATCAGGGAAGTTGTTGACTTTCTTAAAGTACAACAAACGGAACACTAAGAGTGTTTTGCAGTAAGTAGAAAACTAACTCATATATATAAAGGGTTTTAGAACAGCTAAAGGAGTGGCTACGACGACCCGCTTTGCACTCTGTTTTAACACTTCCGGTCCCTATGTCAAGTGTATATGACACCTCAAAGTTTCTGCCCATGACCACAAGTCGCACATACGTGACATGTGCTTTATCAATTTGTGATAACTTTGGTACAAGCAGTTCGTTTCGTAAGCAGATGCCCTCAAATTGATCTGGCCTAAAATCACTCCCTCTGGCTTGCATGCATATCTTTGTGCTGGTGATATTCATCTCTCTCCGTGACATTTTGATCAAAGTCATGTAAAATGTGTTTCACCTGAATTTGGCGTTTTCAAATTCCTGCTTGATGTCTGACAATACTTCTTCAACTAAAACAATGTTGATGAAAAGTTTAGATGTATTGTTGAAATTAATAGGAGAAAACTTTTAGATTAATAAAGTGTAAGAGCACCATTTGTGTTAATTCTAGGTACCTTTAATTTAATGTCTATGTTGCAGGTTTCCTTCAAATTGGCAGGGAGGAGAGGCGATATCTCTGCTATCATTACTTCTGTGTAAGGATATCCCTAATTATGACTTAAATTCAAAACGGACTGACATTTCTTGTGATGGCACACTTAACTACGCCAACTATTTGGGTGTCCGCAGCCTTGGTTTGTACCTCGATGGTTTGGCGTTCCATACACAACCACTGATTCCTGGTACTCCTGCAAGTTAAAAACATCCTTTTCTACCGTTATGATCCCAAAAATACCTTTAACAAGGTACATGAGTGGCATAGGTCAGCAAATGATGAAAAGGCATCGAATTTTGACGGCACAGATAGATGGGACCTTTTTAAGGGTGGCTGACTTGGAGGGGGCTTGCGACAAAGCAATTTGATGAGAATGCGGCCTATTTTACCATTTATGTAATACGATGGTTGTTTATTTCTTGGTATTGATGAGGAGCCTCTTTTGACTTGGCCTTTACACCACTCCGGGTGGACTGGCCTTCGGGCCATGCCAGTAGCCCAAATACCTTCTCTGTGGAAGTAGGTGCGTGCATGCAGCAGCGTAGTGTGATGAATGCAATTTCACGCCAACCATCCGTTATCAGCTCATTTAAAAAGTTTTAAGCACAAATTGTGCAAAGATGAGACATTCAGCCCCCCAGAAGTACGTGGCTGACGAACCCGGCCTTGGTGGTTTTAAAACGCAACACAGTAGACATTCCTGTAGAATATCACCTATTTTGGATGAATAAAATTATGGTGGAGTTGCAAAAGAGCCGAGGACCTTCACGGGATTAGTGAGCACAAGCATTGGCGAGTCTCGAGAAGTTAGTGTCAGACTGTTCTGGTATGGTTTAAACGTGTGGAAGCACTGCTTTGCGCAAAGCAAAAGGTCTAATATTTCCAAATGTAGTAGCCTTTGTCTCCCATACCTCAAATTTTTTGAATTATTGTAATTTTACCATTCCTGTTAATTAGCTCGCATTTGTAATGACAGTAGGCGAACCCGCTCCAAGTGACCTTACAGAGAGATGAAATTGACGGACTCAGTACGGAATGAGGTCGACTTTGGCAGGCCATCAATTTTGCTGGATAGGCGATCGACAACTGTATCAAGTTTAGCAAATCGAACCAGCCCCTAAGGGTCATAATTGGAGACTGTGATGACCTCCTCTACAAAAGTGACTTACTTCTAGCCTTTGCCTTTATCTTCCAATTCATCGCCGCCTAGATACAGTTCACTTTGTGGAAGATGGGGTACTCCAGGACCTCAACCACATCTACATTATAAGTTCCATTGATGAACACCATCACCACCGTTTTATGCTTTAGCCATGCCGCCCCAGATTGCAACTCGTGGTTAATTAAGCTATCGCGGGGAGATTGATTGTGATTGAGATGCGAAGAAATAACCGCGAGTTAATGGCGAGGACAGCGAGTTGTAGCTGCGTAGACTCTTCAGCCTCTCTGCAGCCTCCCTTTTCCATTTTCAGACCTTTCTACAACTAGGTGGGGAATTAACTTGACTTTGAAACAGGGAAGTGTTTTGTTTTAAAATTAATAAACAGGTGCAAATAAAATTTTTATTTCAACCTCTTACTGTCTAGTCAAGAATCGACATCCTCTTGCCTTTTCCAAGTGGGTGGTTTTCCTTGGAAACCGTGAATTCTTCCAGTGAGACCAGTAAACACTGAGTCTTCTTTCTTGAAGAAATATTTATGCCTTACATTTGCCTCTGATAACTAATTTGGTATATTTGGGAGAAGATACTTCCTTGTTCCATTTCAAAGCATGATTATCTTGCTTCCAACCGCTTCATTTACGGGGTAGTCCTTTGAGATATGCCTCTTCCCACTTCCCTAATATGCCAGTGTAACACTGCGACCCCACACCTGACCTCGGGAGCCACGCTACAAATATTGTAATGAAATAAAGAGTCGCTGAAATGCGTGCGATCTGCTCATTGCCGGCTATGGCAAGAGCTCAACTTGTCTCTTTCAACATCATTTAGACGTCCGTGGTGCTTTACCTTACTAGGAAAGTACCGTTTCTTGGTTTTATTTCCCAAGAGTCATTTGTTCTCTTTCCCAACTTCTGACAAGCTAACACCATCCGCCTCTAAAAAGACACCTTTATCTTTAATAATCGCATTGATGCATTAAAAAATTGCCCAGGGCGGTCCAAAAAGGCAACTTTTTCTACCTGGAGAAAAAAAAAAACAAAGTGCTTGCAGGTAGAGATTTTGGCGAGATCGTGGGGTTATGATAAGCTAAAATTTTCCCCACACCGTAGTCCAACAAATTCCCATGACTACGCAGTGGCTATTTGGAACTGTGATCGGTGCCTTAGTGACGATAGACCACCTTTCCTTTCCAAGATAGTGGTTAAAGTAATCGGGATGGGTTTACAATTAAAACCTGACGTGGTTGGGGTACGCAGGATTAACAACTGCTCACTACTATGTAGACGGATGTGCTACTTAAAACGGGAGATAAGTAGATTCCAACGAATCTGCCATTCTTTTCTCTGCTAAGTTTTTAGTCTTATGCACCGAAACGCTGTTAACGTATCGTCTACTAGTGGTTCACAATAGTGGCTCTTCAATATTTTTATCTGAGTCCTCAAGTCGCAAATATGTGACGCGTTCTCTATGAGCTAAATTGGACCGGTTGGTTGGGTTTCAGGATAGTAAGAAGTTGATTAAAGTTCTTAATTCAAAGCTAACTAATTTCTTCCACCCCATTTTTTGAGCTGCAGGCTTTGGTCTCGTCAGCTGGGTGTCATGCTACAGCACTAAAATTCCTACCCTGCAGTAGCCGATCTTCTTCCGAGACAATGGCATCGAATGCACTAACAACTGTAGGCGGTTTCGACTCCAGTCGCTAGTATGATGAAAGTAGGTGAACAAACTCTAGATTCAAATCACTGTGACTAGTGCGCTCTTTAATAGTAAATCTTGCCACCAATGCGACTATACTCCTTCCGCCCGCCGAAACCTTGCCATTTGCCACAACATTGTGCAACATCATAGCAGCAACGCATGAGAACAGTAAAAACTCTTGATTCTCGCCTTAAATATGAGAGAACATATATAAGTCTATAATATTAATGAGACATTTCAGTGGCAGTAGCCAGAACCCGAAGCACCTTTGTACATTCAGCGGGAAGTGAAGGCCAAGGAGTCGTTGACTTAGTTGAAGGCCCGTGGGTAGATAAGTTCAACACCGTCCAGTTCACGGGCCAACTTCTTCACGTAGGCCAGGAGGCAAGCTTGAAAGGCGCTGATCGGAACCTGATTCGCTCGCAGACGCTCACCCATCAACTGCTCACACACCTCCAGTGCCTCGTCCACCCGTTGGCTCGAAATAAGTCGATCCTGAATCAAGTAGAAGCTAAATTCTGAGACCAGTCTGGTCCATAAATAATGATAATCTTTTCTGTTTTTGCATAGTTTCGACCATCAACAGTGGCACCTCTTTGGACGTTGGATTTTTTCTAGTAACAAGACTAGAGTGAACCTGAATTCCAAAGTGTGATGCTTTTTTCAACATTAATACAAGTT